TGTAATCTATTAATTAGTGTTTCTTTACATCTTTTAAGAAGACGTAATTGCGTAATATTTGTATTCTTTTATATTAGGGAAAGTTATTCTGTTTAATTTAACGTTTATAACGTTAACGTTCATACGCGTGTGCACAATTTTAAGCTAAAAAAGTAGCCAACATCTTTTGCGAAACAGTCGCAAACTCAGTGGTAACAATCTTTTACAATTATTATAATAATTATTTTTTGAGAAAAATAATTACCAGCCCGTTGTTTTAATGCATACAGTACGGATAATATTATAAAATACTACTGGATTCTGCAAATAAATATGACCCAACTACCCTTGCTTGAGAACGGGATACTAATCTCAAAGAAACGTTAATTTCAACGATAATTTATAGCTGTTAGTATTTATAGACGGCTTGTGACTGGTTTCATGATTGTAAATACCTATTTTCTAATACTAATACTAATACCAAGCAAACGGTAAGTAAAATTACACACCATATAAAATATCTCACAAGCATAATTAACTCAGTTTCAGTATCTCTGTGGAAGTCTAACACGACTCGGGAAGACTTGACACCTAAGGCCAGGATAACGTCATTACGTGAGTAGCTAAGTAATTGTGTTCCTTACGATGTTTAAGTCAATTACATGGAGTCCCACAAGGCCTTTATAAGTGCGCTGTTAGTGTGACATAATTATATTCTGCTTTTAAGATGTAAGCATGTGCCTAGATGCAGTGTAGTACTTTAAACTACTTTATATGTTAGGTATATCATGTTAACTTTATACATGAGAGCTTGGAAGGTATCGTTTACTGGGTCAAAACGGTATTGTTACTAATTCATATATGTACTTATAAAGGGTTTTAGAGTGTGATGTTTTATACAATGCAATTTGAGTAAAATATCAGTACCTACTTAACCTTAAGAAATAACCAACTTACAGTATTAATTGGGTACACAAAATGACCATAACCTAGATTATCGTATAAAGGTTTTTGCAATTTTGTAGGAAGCATAATCAGGCGTGTTTGTCACGTTTGCTTACAAATCATAACAATATAATGCAAAATTAAAATAATTCAGCACCTACTAAAATTACTACATCAACAATACTTGCAATATTATTCCACATAAAATATCCTATGTAAATTGCCTTCCATTAAAATTACTAGCCGCTACCATCCATCAAGTTTTATCAGCAATTAGTGCAGTTATAAAAGTTTTTAATTATGTCGGCCAACTACAAGCAACTTTGGGAACATCGTAGACTGTATATTACATAATATAAAATTAGAAAAGTTTTAAAGGCAGCTTTTTTGGTTATGGATTTAATATAGCTCACCACACCTTTCCCGCCAAGCCAAAAAAGATAGGTTCATCAAAATCATACAAGACTAAACTTCCATCCCAAACCTAATAGTAAACACGATTTGTCATATCTGTTTCTAGCCCAAATGTACTCCTCATCATCAGTCAGCTTCGAATGCTGCAACAGGATGAAATATTTATCAGAACAACTAGCGAGAACGGAACAAACTCTCAGGTAGGTCCGTGGTGAATCACACAGCTACCTACTTAGATTCAGGAATGACGGACATCATGTTAAAAACTTCATTCATATATCACATTTTTTTTCATTTATACAGCACAAAAAATCTGTATTCTCTTTATTATATCATTTTATAGGTAGTAATGATACTAATGAATCACCACACATCGGTAGTGATTCGTCGTTCATTTGACCATTTAAAACGCATATCCAGTGCCAGTTTTAGACCCATTTTATTGGTATTTGCAAAGCTGTTTTATGAACTTCAATATCTGCGAGTTATCAATCTTTCTACTATATTATTACGTTCGATGTTTGAGTAGTTCTCTTAACCATTTGGATCTTCAAAAACTACGCAGTACCTACTTATGCTAAATTTGTCTTCTACATTTGTATGGACTAGTCTCAGAATACAGAACAAACCAGAAGGCGTCATCGCGCTGCGCGCAAACAGAAGCAAATAAAACCATTCTCAACTAGAATAGTATGAAATTTCTACGATTAGTCAATTTTGGCACGTGGCATGTCGTGACGTATTTACGAGTATCAATTTTAATTTCATTATGCCGTCTTGTGTTATTACTACGAGTAAAAATGCGACTGGAATTACGAAAAAAGTGGATAAGATTACATTTCATCTGCAAGCATCGACTGCAATAGTGTATTTAATTAATTATTGATTTTTTTTATCGATTTATTTTTCTATGAAAATGATGCGGCCATTTTGTGAGTGTTGTCATTTTTGGTGAAAATTTTACCCACTTATTTATTTGTTGTGGGTTATATTTTAGTCCATTATGGAGCCTATGTCATATTAATTCCCCTGACAAAAAAATAAATACAAATAAAAACAAAGGGCACGGTTAGATTAATTTTGGAAACCATCTAGCCAGAGCATAGTTTGCTCAATTCACTTTGAAGAGATATATTTATGACAAAGGTGGTTTGAAAACAGCATATCCTACTAAGATTGTTTGTTTGTTTGTTTGTTAGAATGCGCAAATCTCAGGAACTAAGTAAAGTAAGTAGACTTCTAATCTTTAGTTCGAGTCTAAAGACAATACATATAAAAAACTAAACCAGCAAAAGGGAACGCAATAAAACCTTTATACTAATTGAAGCTTTATTTTATTTGTTGTGTATAGTAGGTGTAACTAAAATTAACAAATCCAGAAATCGTCAACTTTTATGCTACCTCTATGAAATGTGTGAACAACTAGTCTGTTGCATTTATCGTAAGTTTACCTATTTTGTTGGGTTTACTCGTATCTTACCCTCCTGTTGTAAAATACCCCAAACTAAGGGAATTGTTCCACTGTCGGCAATACTACGCGGGTGGGAAGTGCGGCTGGCGGGGGGATTGACGTATTGTTTTTGGACACATTTGACGACATGTAATTATGAGTGAACGCGGCTTCTGGTTTGTTCTGTATTCTGAGGGACTAGTATTGGATCGACTACCTACTAACTCTAGAATCAATTATATTGATTCGCACTTGCTCAGTTTTTCCCATGCCAACGGGCGACTATCTTCGACATAACCTTATGGAACTAGGAAGTTCAACAGAGTCACGGATATAAACAAGTTTGTTTTAAGTTAAATTTAATCCTTGTGCGTTTGAAAGGGAACACGACTTCCCACTCCGTTGAGTATTATGGCTTCTACCTATACGGCTATACCCTTACCTAACGTCTCACGTTTGATATACCTACGTCTACGTACCTACAAACTTCGAACTTCCATCACTTTATTATTCATACATGGTGTGTATTGATAAGTGTTCGGGGAATAGGAAGTAGGATGTTGTATAAGAAAACAATGTATTTCGTTGACTCGGGGTGGAAACTAAGGTTTTAGGTAAAGTCACAGAGGTGTCTTTCTGATGCGATAACAGGTACCAAGGTACTTTTTTCGGATTCAACGGGTGTCTCAACCGGGTATCCGAGGACACGATGAAACATACTGTGCCCTGCTTGGGCTGAACACAGCCGAGTCCTCAGCAAAGCGATCGACGCGGCGGCGGCGACCTCTCATGCCTTTTTGTCAGGGGAAAATCTTCAAATGACCTCTCCCGCACAGGGTAAAGCGAGAGTGTCAGACTCTTACTGACTAAAAACCCCCCATTCCTTCTACTGCTCTGGGCCGAGGCCGCGGTGACTCATTGCGCTTAACCCGCAACATCATCTCATCTCATGCCTGACCTTAGTCCACACAACGGTGCACAGCGAGAGGACCTTAGAAACTGTCTCCTTCTTCGAAGCAGTCATGCAATCAAAGAAGGAATCGGAGTGCGTAAGGGAACAATCCTCCTCGCGTCCTAGACTCCGATGAAAAAACTCCGGGTGTCGGGGATCGTACTATGGTATACACAGTCTCCGGCCACCGAAAGCGCGAGTCTGTTGAAACCCGAGCGTACGGCGCCTCATAGACCCATCGGTCCGCCTCAGATTGTGGTGAATTAATGAGAAGGTGGTAGTTTACACTCAGGGCCTGACACTCCCTCCCCTCAAGGTGTTGAATGTTTTGTATTTCTGGAAACTACAAATATTAATCTCTCCGTTTCTTGCTTGATTTACCCTAGGTAAGTACATGTTTTTCCAACAGAACATGCTACCATTAATTCTACATATATTAATTAGCACAGTTCTCTCCAAATTCCTGATAACTAGAAAGGAACAGCGGATTATAATGGTCTATAATTCTCGTTAACCTGAATTTATCTTTACAGGAACGCGCTTCGATCACGAACTCTAATGTTGGCATCGCGTACGAAAACTGGTAAGTACCTTTCTAAAACATTTATATACGCGTTTAGCTTTCATTCAAAAAGAAATATAACCACCTACCGAATAATTATATGTTTTCCTCTATAAATTGCTTAGTACCTATGTACATGAGCCTCAAAAAGCCTTTTGGTTTGAATCTATATAATTTATTTGAAAGCCAAAGCTAATATAGGTTTTGCGACGCTTGTAGCTACGTTCAATGACCTGCCTAGCATATCTTATTCACTAGATGAATTTATGCACAAAGAGAAGGCGAAGTAGTACACACATATATGTTATGTACTTATTAAAATTTTAAATATATCACACTTCTTAGAAAATTGTAATATATTTCGACAATTTTAATAAAATCGATTTACGTTTAGTGTGACTAAGTTGTATGACGATTGTTTAAATATCAAAATTGCAAGTGCAATCTTTGCCTATCTGTCGCTTTACGTCCAGTTAGTAACTATTTTATTAGCCGACAACTAGAAAACATAGCTTTTCTTTACGACGGCTGAAGATAATTTTGATAAATACATTATATGATTCATATTACAAACTACGAATGGAAAACTTAGAAACTCAACATAAATTTTATCTATTGAAGTAAATACACGTTTTCGAAACTAGTTTTACTCCAAACCTAAGCGCGCCGAAGGAGTCGTCTGAAGTTCAACGTTATCCGTTGAGCTAACGTGACCGATTCTCTGTAATCTAATCTCCAAGTTTCATTCGTTCAGAACAAATGGCAACAGTTGCAGAAGCTCAGGACATTGATACACGATACATAGAAGGTGCGACGGCGTCAAAGGGTAGTGACACAACGGAGTGGGGTGGCAGGGTAGCGCTGTGGGGGGTCGTGCCATTGTGGCGGGCTGCCCCACCGCCCGACACAGTCCTCGCCTTGCGAAGACCTACGCTGTCCGATTGTTGGCCTTTCATGTGAGTCGAATTCCAAAGATTACGAGTAGATACAAGATAACTGCTGTGTGGGACGTTTGATCGTTTGTTTTAGTTACTGCAAGCCTCTGGGGTAGAGATATCAAAGTTTAAATAACTTTAATGCTAATGCTGTGTAAATAAAGTGTCATGCATCACGACTGATAACATTCATCAAAAAATAAATAACTATACAATTTTTTGCTGAATAATGTGAACGATTTTTTTTTTTTTTTGTATTTATGATCAGGTTCGATTCCAGCACGGCACCCAAATACTAGTAATCAAGTCACTTAAACTTTTTTCAGATTTCAGCCAAGTATACAACAAGCGAAATTACTTATACTAAAACAATAATTACTATTTCAGCGGTTCCTACGGCGAGATAATAATACGATTGCCGCGAACTCAGAGAGTGCGTTACGTCACCGTGGAACACATCCATCCTGACACCGCTCGGAGTGCGCCCAAGCATTTCCTAATATACGTTAGTAGTCAAACAGCTGAGATATGAAATTACCGCTTTGAACTCCAATGCTAAAACAAACGTGCTATCTATGAGAACCACAGGGAATATAATTACTATTCTGCACAGTGGTTTAAGTACAAATAGGTACTATGTAAGTGACTGCTTCGTCGGTTGCTTGCCTTTGGATCATTTTGGAATATTAGGTCTTCGCCCGAGGTTACTGCGGAAACATTTGAGTATGTATCTTGTTAATATGTCGTGAAAACAAAACAAACGTGGGCGAACGTAGGATCCCTTTTTTGTCTATCGGGAGGGAGTGTGTCTCCTACTGACTAAAAATCACCCCGTTCCTTCTACTGGTCTGAACTTAGGCTGCGGTGCCTCATTGCGGTTGCCCCGCAACCTCGGCTTAACACAAGCTCTACAGGCCCCGTCTGTAGTCGTCTTTTGGGTCTTTGAAGCGGCTCAGTCTGGTTCTGGTCGGGCGGCGAGTTACCCTTACTCGCCGACCACGGACTCGCGCTGCGGCCAAAGATCGTCTCTCGATCCCTGACGCCCGGAGTTTCGCCTACTGCGGCAGCTGGGGACGAGGAAAGCTCCCTCACGCGGTACGCCTACTTTTGCAAGCATAACTGCTACACAGAAAGAGGAGACGGCTTCCCAGTTGCTTTCGCTACGCACCATTGCCTCGACTAAGACCAGGCGCGAGAGGTCGCCGCCGCCGATAACTTCTACTTGGAGACGGTGCAATATCTTTCTCTGCTCTGATAGTAGCTGCCATGTTCTTTTTACAAACTGATTTCAAATCAAACACCCTAGCTAGACGGTTAACGACGAGACTTAGGTACTTTTGCATTTAATATCTTTGCAAAAAATTGGCACGTGTCCCCTCGCCATTCACAGCATGCAAAAGTAATATAAATGACTGCAAAATACAGGTGGTGTTGATATTCTGCATTGCATTTCTCTCATATTCATAAAATCAGGTACCTATTAGTTCGTCTGCTATTCTGTGGAGTTCATTGACTTCATACATTTGTACGCATTGGTAACTTTGCCTCTCAAATCATTTGTTCAAAAGGAAATTCTTCCATACGAAAATTAATGCACGTCTGTCTCATTTCTGAAGTCTCATCAAGTGACAGCAGTATGTTATTAGGAAATCTTGATTAAAATTTTTTGTGATGATATCACGAAAAATCGTTATGCAGTGGCGTAAAACAAGTTCATTTTAGAAACAGCATCAAATGTAAAGGATGCTGTCTACGTGATTCGTGTCATGTTGCAGTCTTACTCGGATATATGCGAACTGATGCAAATTCACTTGTTACGTATTCCGCAATGCTTTCGCATTGACTAATACAATGAACTACACTGACGCGACGTCTCTCAGATATGGACTCAGTTTTGTGTTTAGATAACTTGTGGTTAAACGAATAGTTTTTCTTAGACAAAACTTCCTGTGACTAATTCAGTCAGGAAAAACTAATAGCTAACATAATTACTAGCTATCGGGTCGAAATGCTTTATCTTGTTACTATTGAGCCCCTAGGCTAGTCTTACCCCAATGAAATATGACGTGAAAAATATATTGTCATACGAGATATTGGTAGTAGTTATGGATCCTAATAAGCAATGTCTCTTTTTCCAGGGCATCCTAGCTAACAACACGTGGCTCAAAATAGCAAACTCGCAATATCGCGCGGAAGGGCCTGCGAAGCAGTACTTCTCATTAGCCTACAAGTACCTTGAATGGAAGAGCCTGGCTTTCCGCGTGTTAACGAACCAGGGAAACAATAAATATACCTGTATTTATAGAGTACATCTGTATGGAAATATAGATAAAAGCATAGCTCCTTTCAATCAATTATAAATGTGTAAAGAATTTTTGTATTTTTAATACTATTTTAATTTTTTATAGGTATGTTCATAATATAACACTATGTTTAATACCACCACTCACTAGTGTGTTAACACTATAACACTTATGTGTCCTCTTTCTGAAAAGTAGTTACTACTTACTATATTACTTCTATTGAAAACCTACTACTTTAATAGTTAAACTACAATCTATACAATAGGTAATATCAAAGAAAGGATCTACAGAAAGGTTGAGAGAGTAAATAAAACATGTGATGGATTTTACGTTATATTAGCCAAAGCAAACGTAACGTTTACGAAGTGCTCCAGTCCTGGGCAGAGCCACCCCATGAGGGGGTGGGTGCTGGGGCGGCCGGGGCGGGGGCAGCGGCGGCAGTCGTTCCCCACTCCTCTTGAACCTGTAAACAAGAACCATACATTACTTACTGCTTATTTAAAATAAAAAGAGATTCCTTGAGGTATTTTTCAAATTATAAACTTTATCAATTTTAAAAGCCAACTTGTACTTCAGACTGCATTATCTTACAAGCTGTTTTTAAAGTCATTTTGTTACCTTTTCGACTTAAAATACCAATAAACAACATAAAGAACTTTTTATATTGTATAGTAAATTCACCAATTAAAAAAGAAAACAACAAAAAACTGTCCAATACAGTTTCTAGGAGCAATGAGTAGTGTTATTTTCTTACCTGAGAAGCCCAGTCTTCTTGGGCGGGGGCAGCTCCGAAGCTGGCAGCTGGGGGTGGCGCGGCGTCCTCAGCCCATGAGGTGACGGGCTCCACAGACTCGTTCCAGTCCTCGTGCACTGCGGCGGGTGCGTCAACCTTTGGTGGCGCAACAGCCTAGGGAAAAGGAACACATTAGTTTAGCAATGTGATACAAATAGAGTGGTCACTGCCCAATATAAAACAACAAGTAACATGAAACTAAAAGAACATTTTATAGAATAAGAAAAATGTATAGTTGGTTAGAATATGGCTACACAATACCTATGCTTGATCAGTTATTGACATGTACTTATAAAAAGTAATCTGGCAGTGCTTCAAAGTAATATCCATAATCTAAGATTTATTTATTTCAGCCCCATCCATCCGGTGGTTTAAGGCTGTGCTTTGATAGATCACTATGTCAGTCAGTCGCATTTGAGTTTTATATTTTTAGATTTATTCAATATCTTATACTTACAACAACTTGCTCCTTAGCCTGTTGTTCTTCCTTCTCACTCTCTTCAGGGTCACGGTAGAAGAACAGGTCAACAACCACATCCCAACGTTGGTCACGGGCGAGCACACCACGCAGTCTGAGGACCTCACGGGCCAACAGCCACCACATCAGACCAATGGAGTGTGAGGACTGTGGATTAAAGATTCTTTTGATTTAAATATGAAGAAAAAGTGACTAATCCAGGTTATATGATGGAACAAAAATGTATCTAGTGTTACTTCTTAAAGCAATCAGAACATGTCACACATATCTGGATGTAATATGACACTCAAGTCAAGTAAATTCACTATGTACAGCACACAAAATTGAAATATTTTTCATTAATTTTTAGTGTGTTTACTTTATTGTATAAATCTCCAGTTACCGTTAGTAGGTAGGCACTTCGTAAAAATTGGGTTGTTGAGTAAAAATATTATCAAATTTTTTTTTTTCAACTTAATGTGTAAGTATTATACCTTTTTAAAAAGAGGAATAAACGCGTCAAAATTTGACGTCACTTGCCATACTATTTTGGTACATTTTTTTTACACTACAGTCGGTCAAAGTTGCGAAATTCAATAGTTTTCCATATCACCTTTAGTTAAAATAATATTTTATTTTAAAATGGTACAATAAGTACTTTATTTTTACATTCTATTTAGACACAGCAATACCCTAGATTACAAAACCTCCAAGAAATATCGAAATTATCAGCATTAGCAGTCACAGCATTCAAAAGTATGTCACAGGGTGCTCATTTCCCCTTTTTTTTGAAATCAGTATAATTCGGTAAGTACATGGGGTGGATTTTTTTAAATATTTTTCTGAGTACTGTTAGAACTTGGGGCATCGTGGGAATCCAGTTGGACGCCAGGTTATTGGACACCCTGTATAAACACCTCTGATAATTGATGAATGAAAAATTTACAAAACCTGATTATTTATTTTCTAAATACAAATTTGAAATAACAAATATTTGCCTTGAGTAAGTGTTGTTAATAATGCTAATACCTTCTCTGTGTGCGTAAAAACTCTGTTTTACTTTGCAATGGGCACATAGGTATCAGATAAATAAATAAACATAATGATGTGATGGTACTGACCTTGGTGTTGCATGGGATGGCAATGTCAACAAAACGGAGGGGAGAGTCAGTGTTGCAAAGAGCAATAACTGGAATGTTGACGTAGGAAGCCTCAGTAATGGGCTGGTGGTCCTGGGCAGGGTCCAGCACGATCAGGAGACGGGGCTCACGGAACGCAGCTTGGATCTGTTGGCGACAAAAACAATGGTTGTTCACATATTTCGAGAATTATTGACTTGTGTTAGACATAGTATAAAAAGATCAGAAAAACTTATAATCATTACTATCAGTGGTTCCTTAGTTTATTTGTCATCATTCAATATAGGATACTAGTTATTGCTCAAAAATAAAATAAATACATAGGTAATAGAGAAGTACAAATGAACTCGATTTACCTGGTTGGTAAAGGCACCAGGAGTGAAACGTCCAGCAATGGGGGTGGCACCGGTGTGTGCGGCGAACTTCAGTACAGCCCGCTGACCGAAGGGACGTGAAGAGATGACGAACACGTCGGCGGGGTTCTCAATAGCGACCACAGCACGGGCAGCCAACACGAGCTTCTCCCATGTACGGCGCAAGTTGATCACGTGTGTGCCATCAGCGCGGCGCTTGTACACGTATGTTTCCATCTAAAAACAATCATATGTTTAAGACTACCTTCATTTAACACACACATTCGTCATTTAGTAGCTGTTTTTTTCAGTTGGGAGAATGGATCGTCAATATTTTCAGACATTTAATATGGAACGGATTCTTGGCTCATCATATTTCGGTGTTGTTTTGATTTACAGGTTATGAACAAAAAGTTCTAGTGCATACCTGGAAGTTGACATTTTCCGCCCCAAGGTGGGTGGTTGCGGCCAACATCTTGGTGACATCTTCCTCGTTGAGGGCGAGAATATCTAATCCTCCCGACATCGTTGCGTTTAATTGAGTTACGGCTAAACCTAAAAACAACAAATGTGACACCGCTATAACAAAAGTTTTACCTAGTAAATTAGAAGATAAACATGAAAAATACTTTACACATTCATTATTAGGATAGTCCCCAAGTAAATTAATACTATTCATTTCAAATTACTAGGTTTGATTCAGGAAATTAATAAAGATTTAAAAAATACTTACGCGTATAATGCCACTGGGAGGCGAAATAGACATAAAAGAACTGTCAAACTACAGTACCCTTAGTATGAGTTTTGACAGCAAACGTTACGTCCTTTCGAAACGTTGATTTTCATTCATAAATTAGCAGCGCCCCTAGCGGAAACGAAAAGAAACTAAATTTGGCAGTACGAGTTGCACCAGCGTAAAATTTCTCGTAATCTTATAAAGTTTTCGAGACATTTTGACAGTTCTCGCCAAATTGGCAGTACGAGTTACAATTTTGACAATTTTATGAAAGTAAAGCGATTCGTTCTCTCTCAAAGTTTACGTTTTACAACTCACCTAGTGGAACGTAGCGAATTGTTTTCGTGCGATTTTTAATTTTAATATTAAATGGCTGCGAGGAGTTATTTTGCCTGGAGGATGGTAGCAGAAGCTGTTGAAAATGATCGCCCCGAAGAAGAGCGTCGAAACCTTCATTTGCGGCGAAAATTATTAAGTCCTATCTCGGACACCCACTTTATTCAGCGATACCGGCTGATTAAAGAGGCTTAAAAGTTTCTATGATTTAAGAAGTTATCAAAGAGTCTCATTAGAAACTAAGGTAAGTCAATTATATCATCTACATAAATAAAAAGGTAGTTAATGGCAATGGCAACAATGATTCATTAAAGACATTTTTAATTGGTTTTAGGTACTCTGCGCATTATTATTTTATGCCAACGGTGATTGATTACCAAAGGTTGGTTGGCATGGCTAATTGTTATTCGCAAGAAGCTATTAGCCGCTTTGTCCACCTAGTGACTGAAGCGCTCAACCACCCGAACATATTAAAAAACTTTGTGAAGTTCCCAGCGACGCGTGAAGCTAAAGAACAAGTCAAACAAGGTAATTCGCAGTTTAAACTAACATCATATTCATGCTTTGAACACTTGCTAGGGGATAACTTGTTAATTAATAATGAATGTTTCTCTTTATAGTTTCTATAACATGTGTATGAAATGCCACACTTCAAAATTGTTAAGCCGAAGATGGAGATTGACCACTTATTTTACTGCCGCAAGTATTATCATTCAATTAATTATTTAATAAATATAGTTTGAATAAAACAATCTACACAATCAAAAGGTTCATAATTATAATGTATACATAATGTGTCTTCTCTACCTCTAGGAGCACAAATCTTCAAGTAACTTTGCTTAATATTGTTTATAGAAAAGACATTATACTTTGTTGGAGTTCCTAATAGACTTTTAAATAAAATTTAAAAAGCCTTATAGTTTAAAGTAATGTCTATAAAATAAAAATGTTAATAAAGTGACGAAATAACATCATAAATAAATCATGATAATGATGATTTATTTTCTTTACACATAACACATTGTTTCTAGGTGTGCAATCACTGGGGCTAAATCATGAGTGTTAACCATAAGTATGTTGGTGCCAGCCATGATGCCTTTGTGTGGGATAACAGTCTAGTTAACCAGTACATGCAGACATTGTACCAAAGTGAGCTGCTAGGTAAGTTTCTACATGTAAATAAAATAGGTTAACTATGTAATATGTTCATATTATCTGCTACTAACTAACTGTTAACTATAACTAAAGGTCACAGACACTATTGTAATTCTAGACATTTATTTCAAATGCAAACTTGTTGTATCTGCAGGTGACTCTGGATACCCACAAAGACCGTGGCTGATGACTCCATACACTCAGCCAGACCCTGGTTCTGCTGCAGACACATACAACAAGGTACACAGCAGTGAAAGAGTTATAATTGAGAACACCTTCAGACGCCTGAAGAATAGGTGGAGGTGTGTGTGCAAGAACAGAGTTTTGCACTACAAACCCGAAGTGTGCATTAATGATAGTGGCTTTCTGTGTGCTGCATAACTTTTAATGTACCTGAAGTGGTTATGGAACCCACAGGTACCTTATCAACTTATTATCCCTTTATTTTCTTGTAAATCAATAAGTAGAATTTAAATGAAATCAATGTTTATAATTTCATTTTATGTATGATAATTTAAAGTCAATTTGTATAGGGAAAGCTGTTTTAATTACTACAAAATATAATAATAAATATAATCTCACAAGATTAATTTTCTACAAGAAAATTTCTCATGTGAGTATAATTTATGCTACATACTTACTAAATTCAAGCCTCCATGACAGAGGAAAGCTACTTAGAGAAAAAATGGTCCAACTAATACCACTAAAGTGACAATGTTACAATTTATTTTATATGTTTCATTCGATTATTTTTAAAAGCGTATTATTCCTCAGCAAATTTCATAGTTTGTGTTTTGTTTCCACAGGTCACGAAGCTTTCGCCAGGGTGGAGTCTATTCCGCAAGAATGCGTGATCGCGTAGCCAGTATAGTGCATATCGTCCGTTAATTTTATTTATTAATATACACATAAATAAAAACATTTGTTTTATTTCCTACATATTTATTGTATAAGTATTACATTCGTTAGCCTATTTCGCTTCTAAGAGAAATATAATCAGCAACACTCTAAAAATAAAGCTGTAATAAACAAGTTCCAGTGTCTTATAATTTAGTAACTTAAAATCTAGTGTTAGTATGATAAAATGGTTAGTATAATTAACAATTGACTACAACATTATGAAATAATAAATGATATTTATTACTATAATAGAGGATAATAATAAAGACAAAATAAAGACAGTAACACATTTTTAAAGATAATGAAAAACCAAAGAATGAAACAAAACAAAATTTTTTTGATAAAAAACTTAACAAATAAATTATTTTTGGCTTAAATTCTTATAAAAAGAAATAAATAATAAACGGTAGGTGATTAATTAACAATTGACACATTTTTAAATAATAAAATGTTGAGTACTAATTTTATTCCTATATACCATTGCTGTCCCTATCAACTTCAAATAATTAAATACAATCTGCACATGCAAGAATAATTAGAATAACCAAGTAGTACCTAATACATCTATTTACCTTATCTACCATGCAATATCTTTAATTAGTTACTATTTAGTTAATAATAAATTACACCTAATATATATAAATATATAAAATAATTACCTAAATTATAATTGAGAAAATATCTATTAATAATAAATATAAAAATATTAATAATAAACAAAATTAATATAAATCTACTCATAAATAATATCTACTTCAATATCTAAATATAAGATTTACTCCTTAATTTCAATATTATGATTTTAAACAAAAAGCGCTTCATCCTCTCCTCTAAAAACTAACTTGCTGTGCTCGACACGGTCCATAATTGTTTCTCTGTAATTTGCCTACCAGCCTTGTATACATTATGGAATGCAATAAAGTATTGAGTATTGAGATTGAATGTGATGAAGAAATAATAGACAAAAACAAAGACTGTAACAAATTTGCCAAAGAATAAACAAAACAAAATTTTGATGATAAAAAACCCAACAAATAAATCATTTTTTACTTAAAATATAGTGTTAGTAAGAAAAAAATAAATGGCAATTAATTAATTAACAATTGACAAATTTTTAAATAATAAAATGTTAAATTCTAATTTTATTTCTATAATAGATTACCATTGCTGTCTCTATCAACATCAAATAATTAAATACAATCTGCACATGCAAGAATATGATGTGGATACAATACACAAAAACAAATAAACTAACATATTTGCCAAAGAATGAAACAAAACAAAATTTTGATGATAAAACCTAACAAATAAATTATTTTGACTTAACATCTAGTGTTAGTAAGGAAAAATAAATGGTAAGTAATTATTAAACAGTTGACAATTTTTTAAATAATAAAATGTTACTATGTACTCTATAACAGATTACCATTGCTTTCTCTATTAACATCAATAATTAATTAAATACAATCTGCACATGGAAGAATGTGATGAGGATATGATAGACAAAAACAAACAGACAGCGACACAATTCCTAAATGATACTTATATATACAAATAAATAATTTATTTGTTGTTTTGTTGTTGTGAATGTCCATCTGATTGGTTGGTAACTGGGCAGGTGTGGGTGACCGAGGCTGCAGTATTGGTGGTGGCACTTCCAACTCTACAAAGTTGGCAGCCAGTGCTGAATCATTCTGTAAATAAAGGAAATTTCTTATAAATATAGCCTTAGGCACTTTAGAGCATCTAGTCAGAGTATTTGTAATATAGCCCAAATTAAAAGAAACAACAAAATTAGTTTAAAAAGATTTTGAAATTGTTTTGACTAAATCATGCCATAACTATAAAATTCTAGCAAAATGTTATGTATGTGGTGTGTATATAATGTTAAAGTTTAAAGTTTGTAATGTCATATTTATGTATTAATGTACATATTATTATGTAGTATTTATCTATGTAATATGACTTTAAATATTCATTAAGCAAAGCTAAAGCTAATGTGTGCATTTCACAATTGAGTAATTTAATTACATATAAGCTTATTATGAGTAACACAAACATTACAAAAGCAATATTACCTGAGGCACAGGAACTATTTCATTTATTGAGACCATGCCTGTAGCAGCCTCGGGCCCCATCAGGCTGAGGACTCACTGCTCCAGGTTGGTGATGCAAACTTTTAAAGCTGGACCACCACCAGTTAGTATTTGTTTTTTAGGTCACTCCACACCTATTACGTGCAAAGAAAACATGCTTATTAACTATTAAAATACAATGGCAAATGTAAAGCAAGTAAATTATTAATCACAGATAACTCTTGTATAAGTAGCATTTAACATCGAAATTGTCTCGATTGAATGGATTAACTAAATGCTGGCTTTATGGGAAGCCTTTATAATAATATAATTTTGATTATTGTTGTACCTCTTTCCATTTGTCCACCGGTTTCGAACTTTCGGTGGAATCAATGTTAAGCACCTTAGCGAGCTCCTCCCACTGGGAGACGCCGCTAAGCCTGCCGTAAGGACCACCAGCAGGCTTTTTAAGGTCTCCATTTCTAAAATATATGTAAAATACACGAAAAATTAGAACTTGATGTTGAAGAATTAAAACTAGTATTAAGAAACATTCAATAACTTAAAAGATATGAATTAATACTTGCTTACCTTTCCATAAACTCCACCATCACTTAATATTGCGAGTAACTTGTCTTCGTACACATTTTTTAATGTTTTTTATTTAAAAATAGTAC